CAACTTGCCCACTTGAGGCTGAGGACCCTCTGCCTGCCTGGTGAGAATAACCTTTGACCCCTTACCCCCACTTGTAGGTCTGCTGGCCCTAACCTGGTTTACCATTTGCCCGCTATACAGGAGTAACCCTCAGTGCAATGATCCTTACTTTTCTACTCAATTCTCCCATCTCCCACACATTGATTTCCTATCTTCCAGACCACAATGTATTCTTTTTTTTTTAACAGCTTTATTGAGATATAATTTACATACCATAAAAATCATCCTTTACCCATCTTAAGTGTACAATTTAATGAATTTACAATTTTGTACAAACATTACCACAATTTAACTTTTGAAACCTCATGGCCATTTATATTTACCTTTCATTCCTATCCCCAGCCCAAGGCAACCACTACCCTTCAGACTATAGACCCTGAATCCTGAACCCCAAGTTCTCCTGATATCTTTGCCTTTCTGACCCCTCTACTATCTCTCAGATTCATCTGTAGCTGAGGATAAATGGCTGTCAGCCCTGGAAGGAACACGATGGTTGGACTATGTCAGGTACTCCTTCTTTTTCTAGATATAACTTATAATTCAAACCTCCCCAAACTTCTGTTAACTTGGACTCCTAAGTGGCCTTCCATTAATTTTTCTCCTTGGTTTCCCAAGAAGACTGTTATTTGCTGCTCCTCAGAAGGAGAAGGGGCAGGATTTTGGAGTCTGCCTCTATTCTATCTCATGACTCATTCCCCTCTTCCAGGATTATAATTCTTCCCTCCTCTTCCTCATCTGCCCCTCCAGGTCTTGTCTTAGAAAGGCCAGTGACATCTCAGTGTTAGTGACATCTAGAGTTCGCTCTGTAGTACTTCAAGGTGAGTTTCTTGAGTTAACTCACTCCATTACTTGACTTTTTCCTTTACCCACCTGACTGGATTCTGCTCAGGGAGTGAAACCTATAAGGCTTCCTTGTCCCCTTCTAGTGCTAGCATCCTCCTCTCCCTTTACTAGGAGCTCTAACTCATCCTTCAGTGCTACCTCAGCCTCCCCACCACAGCTCATGGTCCCTAACAGGATTCTCTGCCCTCTGTTCCCATCATTCCATCATGAATGGGGATTGGGGTTGGGAAGAGGACAGTGTGGGAGCTGGTTTGAGATTTATAATGCTGCCCCCTACATGTGAGGCTGGGTATTTCTATCCAGGTGGAGTCTATGAAGTGAATCATTCAAGGTCTTTGTTTTTTCTTCACTTCTATGTGCCCTCTTAATCCTACCTACCCCAAACTTTCCCCTCTGTGCCTCTCACTTCTTACCATGTTTCCTTTTCTCATTCTCTTCTGCCCTAGTTTCTTGGCCCCTCCTTCTTTGTCCCTTATCCCTCTTTATCACCCAGAGCGCGGTGATCGTGATTTCAATGGCCTCCTCTCTTCACTCGTCCAGCTGCTTTCAGCCCCTGAAGCCCGAACACTGCTTGGCTTCCAATCACTAGTGCAGCGAGAATGGGTGGCAGCTGGACATCCCTTCCTGACCCGACTTGGGGGAACTGGGGTCAGTGAAAAGGTGAGAATGTTTGGGGAGAGTATTGGGATGGGGGGGCAGTATTACTAAAGAAGTAAAAAAATAAAAAAATATATATAGTATAATTCATTGGAGGTGAATCAGGTATGAATGGTTCTGAGGTTAGGATGAATTTGAAGGGAGACCCAAATAAGTGAGGGACCACACTCCCTACCTATGTTCAATTCAGATTTTCATTTCCGGATCTCCTTAGTGACCTCTATTCCCTGTGTCCCCCTCATTTTGTCATCCTCCCCCTGTAGGTTCCCATAGTCCCTTCCATCCTCTTAATTTCCCTCTTCTCAGGCCCCAGTGTTTCTAGTCTTCCTTGACTGCGTCTGGCAGCTCCTCCAGCAGTTTCCAGCTGAGTTTGAATTCTCCGAGTTTTTCCTTCTTGCTCTTCATGACAGTGTCAGGGTTCCTGACACCCTTACATTCTTGAGAGACACACCCTGGGAGCGTGGAAAGCAGATTGGACAGGTTAGTGACTTCCATTTTTTACTTGTCTTTCACCCCCTCCCTCCCAGAGAGAAGTGCTTTCAGAAGTTTAGTCTTGATTTATGAAAGTGAGGTCTGTGGATGGGAAAGAGGGAGGTTGGTGCTCTCTCTCAGGACTGGACTTTCACCCTACATATGATTCCTGGAGTGAGATGAGAGTTTCATAATCTCTCTCTCGACATATGAGAAGGATTATATATATTTTTTCTTTGTTTAACCATCTTTTTTTTTTCTTGTTTTCCTCTGTCCAGTTCAACTCCTATACACAAGTCTATACTCCAGGGTACTCCCAGCCCCTCGCTGGGAACTCTGTTAACCCACAGCTGTCTGTCTGGGACTGGGATTTACGCTACAGCAATGAACAGATACTACAATTCCATAATCCTGGCTATGACCCGGAACACTGCCCAGATTCCTGGCTCCCTAGACAGCAGGTGAGATGTCTAAACTCCCTAAACAAACTCCCTTGACTTTCTCACAGACTCATCCCACTAGGTGGGGAGAAGGGGAAAGATACAGTGTCTAAGTTCCCCAGGGAAAGCTACCCCACTCCTCTTCTGTAACTGTCACTTATTGTCCCTGACTGTTCCCAAGAAGACAAAAATCCTAGAACAACAGGGAGCATCCTTTTGGTCCTCCTCATCTTCTGTCTCATGCACACATTTTACAAGTTTCCCTAAAATCAACTTTAATCAGTCCCAAAGCGTATTTTGAAGCCTAATGAAGAGGAAAAATAAAGAGTTCTCAGTGATAAGCTTGTAGTTCCATCACTAGTGCAGTGAGTAGTAGCTGGACACTCCTTCCTAACCCAATTTGGGGAAACTGGGTTTATCTGGTTTCAAGGCACCCGTTAATTTTCCTTTCCCCTTTAGCCAAGCTTCATGGTTCCTGGACCTCCCAGTTCTGTGTGGCTCTTCTCTAGAGGGGCCTTGACTCCCCTGAATCAGCTCTGTCCTTGGCGGAACAGTCCCTCCCTGCTGGCAGTCCCCTCTCGTTGGCTCCCTCGACCTGCTATCTCTTCAGAAAGTCTGGCTGATCAGGAGTGGGGGCTCCCGTCACATTGGGGAGCTTGCCCTTTACCCTCAGGGCTGCTGCTGCCTGGGTATTTGGGACCCCAGATCAGGCTCTGGAGACGCTGCTACCTAAGGGGAAGGCCTGAGGTCCAGGTGAGAAGGGAAGACGGGTTGGGAATGAGAGAAAGGTTTGACTGCTGAACCAGATGTTCTAGGAGAAGCCAGATGTTTCCAGGAGCTGGAAAAGCAAGATACTGGGCAAATTGGGAAGTGAAGTATCATTCATGTTGGTATCAAAGTGGATAGGGGAGTATGGATGGGTAGGGGGAACTGCTTATGGCTCAGATCAAGTGGAACCTAGGGCATAATTGGAGAGAGAAAGAGAATTAAAGACGCCAGAAGTAATGCACAGATTTTAGAAGAGCTGCAATAATACTCCTCCTCTACCTCTCTTCACTCCCTTCCCAGGTGGGCCTCTCAGCTCCCACCATCACTGGCCTCCAGGATGAGCTATCCCGTCTTCAGGAGCTATTAAGGAAGTGGACTCCAAGAATATCTCCTGAGGATCACTCCAAGAAAGATCCAAATTCCATTCTCTCCCAATCCTGTTGAAATTGCTGGCTTTCTCATGGGCAGGGCAAACAGTGGTCTGGGGTGAGTGAGAGTTATGTCTAATCCTTTTGATTTTTCTTACCTGGTTTTGTTGGTGCAGATTTCACACTCCAGCCCTTAAACAAGATCCCTGACTTGGTTTTCATTGCAGATGGATGGTGCTAACCTCCAACTCTTGCTCTGTCCTGTTTGGCTCAAGATTTTATATATATATTCTTGTTATTTGAAGAATTAAGAGGCAAAAACAATCCAGAATACGATCACCTCTTTTTTCAGGGCAATTCCATCCCTTTTGGATATCCAGCTGTTTTTGAGTTCAGAGATGCTGTTCATCAACTCTAACAGGATGGCCTACAGATCTAATTTTCACCTCCTCTTGCTGCTTCTTTAATTGCAATTTCTATTTCTTCCCGTATAGCTTCCTATGGGTATGGAGTGGATATGGGAGACACCGTCTCTCCCAATTGTATATTTTGTAGTGACATTTCTATTTAAGGGGTTCATTAAAGCACAGTATTTATACATGTTGCTGGCATTGTTTCCTGTGTCTGAATAAAGAGTACTAGGTGAGTGGGGTGGGTGTGACCCAAGAGAGGATGGCACTCACCACATTATTGGTCAAGTGAGGCTCTGCACAATTCACATGCAATCTGGAAAAAGAGTTCTCTTTTCAGTGTCTCCCATTTAGGGACAGATGGTGCAAACGCATACCAAGAAGTGGTTGCTGGGGCCAGGAATATTCTGGAGGTTGCAGCCTTTGGGCTTCAATGTCCGCCAAGCCTCAGGTTTCCCTCACCCCGTATGCAATTACCACCAGGGGAGCTGAAGTCTCGTGTCAGCTGACAGGTGAAGTCACCGGCTGACACGTGACTCCAGCTCCCACACTCTGCAACCCTTCCCTTGAAGGAAACAAAATCCTAACTCAAGCCCAGGCCGGGGCTGCGGAACGGAGCGGGAGGCTGCCTACGCGCCCCAGGCAGCCGAGCCCTGCAGTGGGGAGCTCCAGCACACCCTTCTCTGGGGAACAAAATATACGAAAAGGAGTTTTGTTCCTTTAGCTTTCAAGTTTAATTTTGGGAGCAGTATGATCCTGTAACGTCACAAAGCCTCGAGAGGGTCTGGGCATTTCCACCCTGCCTTCCTCGCCCCGAGCGCCCCCAGCGAGGCCTCAGCGAAGCACGAAGCACCACTGACTCCATCACCCGAGCGCCTCAAGTACCAGCGGCTCCTAAGATGGCCGCGGCCGCTCTCGGCCCCTCCCACCGCCGCGGCCCGCCCACCGCCTCACGTCAGCCTTCGCCCCGGAAGTGGAAGTAGTGGCTGAGGTCGGAGGGCGGAGTCGCTGCCTGGAGACGACGGGAGTCTTTCGCCATGGCGGCTGGGCCGATCTCTGAGCGGAACCAGGGTGATTGGCGGGAACGAGCCAGGAATGGGCCCCGAGGGGCTGGGAGGCCTCGACTATGGCCACCAGTATTTCCGTCGGGGCGGGAGACTGGGCCAACCCCGAGGGCGCGAGACCGGGCCCCGTGCCTGCGGGGGGCGGGGGGGCTGGGTTCAGGCTAAGGCCTGTAGGTGTGGTACTTTCTATGTCCAGTCTTTTGCCGTCCCACTTAAAAAAAAAATCCATAAAGAGAATTTGTAGCAGAACTCTAAGTTAGACTTAAGAAGATTCTCTAGTTCCTGTAAAGAGGGAGGTGTAAGGACTTCACCTAACGTCTTTTTGTGGTTGTTGTTTTTTCCTTTCTGCTCCTGTACCCTGTCTCCACCCCCAATTACCCCACCTGGGTTTCATCTTCATGTCCCTGCCATCTCCTTTCCTGTCATACCCGTCTCTGCCCTAACCGCCTTCTCCCGCCGTCCAGATGCCACTGTGTACGTGGGAGGCCTGGACGAGAAGGTTAGCGAACCGCTGCTGTGGGAGCTTTTTCTCCAGGCTGGGCCAGTAGTTAACACGCACATGCCAAAGGATAGAGTCACTGGTCAGCACCAAGGTGAGTACGTTTCAAGAGGTGCATTTATGTACTGAGGGGACAAACTGCTCCAGGAGGATTCCAGCAGTATTCACAACTGTTTTGGAATAAGCAACCCAAACATTTCTCTCTTAAGTATACCTCAGTTTATTTCTGGAACCGTTTTCAATTGAAGTGAGGTTGTTATTTCTTATTTTTTGTGCTTTCAAAGGTGGAACCACTTCGCTTAAGTTTACCTCTTCTCTTCCCACTTCTCCAGGCTATGGTTTTGTGGAATTCTTGAGTGAGGAAGATGCTGATTATGCCATTAAGATCATGAACATGATCAAACTTTATGGGAAGCCAATTCGGGTGAACAAGGCATCAGCTCACAACAAAAACCTGGATGTGGGGGCCAACATTTTCATTGGGAACCTGGACCCAGAGATTGATGAGAAGTTGCTTTATGATACTTTCAGCGCCTTTGGGGTCATCTTACAAACCCCCAAGATTATGCGGGACCCTGACACAGGCAACTCCAAAGGTTATGCCTTTATTAATTTTGCTTCGTTTGATGCTTCGGATGCAGCAATTGAAGCTATGAATGGGCAGTACCTCTGTAACCGCCCTATCACTGTGTCCTATGCCTTCAAGAAGGACTCCAAGGGTGAGCGCCATGGCTCAGCAGCCGAACGACTTCTGGCAGCACAGAATCCACTCTCCCAGGCTGATCGCCCTCATCAGCTGTTTGCAGATGCACCGCCTCCACCCTCTGCCCCCAATCCTGTGGTATCATCATTGGGGTCTGGGCTTCCTCCACCAGGTAAAGCTTTTGATTCAGAATATGTTTGTCTTGGGTTTGGGGTTGGTAGGGCAGGAGGAAGGAAAAAGAACCAATGAAAGGGGACATTGGATCATTGGGTGATAAGAAGGGGATTGAAGGTTGATGGTTGTGGTGGGGAGGAAAGTTGCTGAATTTCTCCAGGAGGCTGAAGTTTGTATTGGCTAACATTGCTTTTGATTTTAGACAGCTGGGAGGAGGAAAAATGAGCTCATCCCACCTGGAGAGGCCACATTGGAACACGCTCACTAAAGACATTCTCTCCTCATTATCATTAACTCTTTTTCCATTTCCTCTGTAGGCATGCCTCCTCCTGGCTCCTTCCCACCCCCAGTGCCGCCTCCTGGAGCCCTTCCACCTGGGATACCCCCAGCCATGCCCCCACCACCCATGCCTCCTGGGGCTGGAGGACATGGACCCCCTTCAGCAGGAACCCCAGGGGCTGGACATCCTGGACATGGACATTCACATCCTCACCCATTTCCACCGGGTGGGATGCCCCATCCAGGTGGGTATACTTTGCTGGGACAGGGAGGGATGAACACGGAAGAGGATCTCTATCACCACTTATGCTGCTGCCCTTTTTCCCATAACAATAATAGATACTTCAGAGCTGTCCTTTCCTTCAGACATTCTTTTACAAAAACAAACACAAGCCCTGGCTGGTTTGGCTCAGCAGTGAGAGCATTGGCCCATGGACCAAAGGGTCACAGGTTTGATTCCGGTTAAGGGCATGTACCTCAGTTGTGGTTTGATCCCCTGCCCTGGTTGGGGTCATTCGTGAAGCCAGCAGTCTGTGTGTCTCTCTCACATCGATGTTTCTCTCTCTCTCTCTCCCCCTTCCTCCCTCCCTCCCACTCTCTGAAAATCAATGGAAACGTGAGGATTAAAAAAAGAAACACACACACACAAAATACTTCACTCTGTTTACTTTAACAACTACCACTTTGTCTCCATTTCTTACTTAAGTTTTTCGAAGGGTTTAACTATACTTGCTGTTTTTTGTTTTCTTAACTTTTATTTCCATTTTGTCCTTTGACTTTTACCCCAAAGCAGTGGCCAAATCTAGAGGACACTTCCACTCCTTATCTGGTTTGACCTTTGTTCTTACTTGAAACTAGCCATGTCTTTTTTTGTTTGAGTTTATTGGGGTGACATTGGTTAATGAAATTATATAAGTTTCAAGTGTACAATTCATCCTATCCCATCACCACTTATCACCCCTTTACCCTCTTCTACCTGCCTCTACCCCCCCATTCCTTCTGGTAATCACCACACCATTGTCTATGTCTGTGAGTTGGTCATGTCTTTTTGTTTGAAATCTTATCTCTTGGTTTTTCTTTCTGTCTCCTCAGTCTCAGCCACCTTAATAGGCTCCCTTTTCTGTTTGTACCTGTGTAGTTTCATTACTTGCACACTGATGCCTCCTAGATCTTTATCTCTGATTCACGGTTATTAATATTCTAGACAATTAATCCTGCTGCTGAATGGACAGGTCCACTTTTTTCTACCCCTTCCCTTCAACCCTGTTCCTCTAGAATTGTTTCAGGTACTAAATTCAGAAATCTGGGAGCTATGTTTGACTACTCCTTATCATACTTTTATTTATTTAATTTATTTTTATTTTTTTGTTACAGATGTTCCCCTTTTTCCCCCATTGACACCCTTCTCCCAATCCCGCCCCTGCCCCCCAGCATTGTTGTCTATGTCCATGGTTATGCATACATGCATATAAGTTCTGTGGTTTATCTCTTCCCTCCTCTCCCACACCCCTCTCTTGAGGTTTGTCAGTTGGTACCCTACTTCTATGTCCCTGGGTCTATTTTGTTCATCAGCTTGTTTTGTTTATTATATTCCACAAATAAGTGAGATCATGTGATATTTGTCTTTCTCTAATTGGCTTGTTTCACTTAGAATAATACTCTCCAGGTCCCTCTGTGTCATCTCAAAGGATAAGAGATCTTTTTTTCTTATAGCTGCATAGTACTCCATTGTGTTTATGTACCACTGCTTTTTTATCCATTCGTTTACTGATGGACACTTGGGCTGTTTCCAGATCTTAGTGACTGTAAATAGTGCTGCTATGAACATAGGGGTACATATATTCTTTCTGATGGGTGTTTCAGGCTTCTTAGGGTATACTCCTAGAATTGGGATCACTGGGTCAAATGGCAGTTCAATTTTTTGAGGTAACGCCATATTGTTTGTCATAGTGACGTGATTGCCCCAGTCTGCATTCCCATCAGCAGTGTACTAGAGTCCCCTTTTCTCCACATACTCGACAGCACTTGTTGTTTGATGATTTGTTGATGGCAACCATTCTGGCAGATGTGAGGTGATATGTCATAGTCGAAACATCGATGTGAGTTGATTGGTAGAGAGAGAGAAAGAGAGAAACACTGATGTGAGTTGATTGGTTGCCTCCTACACAACCCCAACTGGGGCCAGGGATCAAACCTGCAATCCAGATACATGCCCTTGACTGGGAATTGAACCTGCCTTCAGTCCACAGGACAACACTCTAACCACTGAGCCAAACCGGTCAGAGCCTTATCACCCTACTCTTGATACCAAGTCATATTAATGTCTTTGACATTGGCCCCCACTGCCAGTGCCTTAGTTCAGTCTCTCATACTCTAATTATTTCACAACTAATATAACACAGGTGTTGCCCTGGCTGGTTTGGCTCAGCGGTTGGAGTGTCAGCCTGTGGATTGGAGAGTCCAGGGTTCAGTTCCTGCTAAGGGCACGTACCTCAGTTGTGGTTTGTCCCCGGTCCCAGTTGGGGTCGTGTGGGTGGCAACCACTCAATGTGTCTCTCTCACGTTGATGTTTCTCTCCCTCCTGCTCTATCTGAAGATAAATGCAAAAATGTCCTTGGGTGAGGATTTAAAAAAAATAACAACACAGGTGTTTGTACACCCTTAATTCAAAATTCTTCTGTTGCTTCCTTTTATCTAGAGTGAATCCGAGACTCGTTACCATAGCATTCTAGATTTTTCATGATTTGGCCCCTGATTAATGAAGTTACTGGTTTTCTTGGAACATACTATGCTGTTTGACACACCTGTGATTCGGATCCTTCTGCCTTGGGTGTTCTGTTCCCACAGTGTCCACCTGAAAAATTCTTATTCATCCTTTAAAAATAGATCTCTGACCCTGGCCAGTTTAGCTCAGTGGTTAGAGTGTTGGCCCTTAGACTGAAGGGTCTCGGGTTTGATTCCCAGTCAAGGGTATGTACCTGGATTGCAGGTCATCCCCAGCCCCCGTTGGGGTCGTTTGGGAGGCAACTAATTGATGTGTCTCTTTCACATTGATGTTTCTCTCTTTCTCTCCCTCCCTTTCTCCCTTCCATTGTATTTAAAAATCAATGGAAAAAAATCCTTGGGTAAAGATTAACCAAAAAAAAAAAATGTTGATAAATAAAAATAGATCTTTGCCCAGACAGTATCTCTGCTACCTTCCCAAATCCTATCAATAGAATAATTCATTCCATTTGTTATGTACTTCTGCAGTGCTATTACAGTGCCTAAATCATGAAAGAAGTGAAGTGGGTGAGGAATTGATTGGGTAATTGGTTGTTTGTACTGTTGGAATGGGTTCAAGGATAAGGGCACTTTTTTTTTTTTTTTTGGTACGTGCCCCTAGCGGAAACCGAATCCGGGACTCTCGTCCACAGGCCGATGCTCCATCCGCTGAGCCAAACTGGCCAGGGCAAGGATAAAGGCACTTTTTACCAGCCTTATTTTCCATACTCTTCCTGATGTCACTTTTTTCTCCATGTTTTGTTTTTTTTTCTTTCTCCATTTTCTTTGCCCTTTCTCTTGTGTGTCTGTTTTCATAGGGATGTCTCAGATGCAGCTGGCCCACCATGGCCCTCATGGCTTAGGACACCCCCATGCTGGGCCCCCAGGATCTGGGGGACAGCCACCACCAAGACCACCACCTGGAATGCCTCATCCCGGACCTCCTCCAATGGGCATGCCCCCCCGAGGGCCTCCATTTGGATCTCCCATGGGTGAGTAGGCTCTAGCCACTTCCTTCATCCTCATACATCATATTCTTGCAGCTTCCTTTGTCACGCCCCTTTTTTCCTGCTTTCTTCTCACTGTCTCCCTGTCTATTCTGTCCCTACGTTCTCCCAGCATCAACTATCTCCTATTTCTTGCTTTTATTAACTTTTCTCTCTCTTCCTACAGGTCACCCAGGTCCTATGCCACCCCACGGTATGCGTGGACCTCCTCCACTGATGCCCCCTCATGGATACACTGGCCCTCCACGACCTCCACCCTATGGCTACCAGAGGGGGCCCCTTCCTCCACCCAGGCCCACTCCCCGGCCTCCAGTTCCCCCTCGTGGCCCACTTCGAGGCCCTCTCCCTCAGTAATTTCTTATTCTCTTTCCTCTTGTTATATCTTTCCAATCCTTGGACCAATCAGAGTTGCTATAGCTTCCTGGGGTTAAAGGCACTGATCCCTTAGGCCTCTTTTTTTTCTTCTTCAGATTTTTTAATTGGTTTTTAGAGGAAGGGAGAGGGATATATATAGAGAAACATCAACGTGTGAGAGCAAAACATCAATTTGGCTGCCTGCTGCATGCCCCCTATCAGGGATCAAGCCTGGAACTTGGGCACATGCCCCGACTGGGAATCGAACTGGCAATCTTTTGGTGCATGGGATGACACCCAACCAACTGAGCCACACCAGCCAGGGCCCTTAGGCCTTTTTTTTTAAGTGTAATTTTTTTCACAGGAAGTTTTTTTTTCCTATGTTGGTCCTAAGTGTTTTACAAATGCACAGAGATAATAAAGATGAACTCGTTTATTATTCATTGTGGTGAAAGGTAACTTTTCTCTTTTTCTATAAGAAGAGATGTCTGTATACGGGGAGAAGAATGGTAATATAGGAGTAAGGGTGTTTTTTCCACATTTAAAGACCTACACTGTCATGTGCTGCTGTAGTTGCTGGACCACTGTGCACTATGGCAATTGTTGCCTTATGTCAAGCTTACACAGTTACTAGTTTATAATATGGAGACTTAGTAGTAATGGCATAAGGTTATTGTGAGTATTAAGTGAAAACAAGTAAAGTTCTGGAGATATACTGGCAAAACTATGAAGCAACATGGACAAAGCTAGTCATTGTAGTACTATTTGTAATAACTAGATTGGAAACAACTCATATCCATTAGTAAGGGACTGATTGAATAAACTGGTAAATTCACACAACAGAGTACTGAGCCGCAGTAGGAAGTAGTGAGGAAGATGTTAGACGTTGTGAAGAGATCTATCTCTAGGATATATTGAGTGAAGACAGTAACATGAAGAACAATGTAGAGTGTGCCACCTTACCTATCTCAGAGGTGGTACATAATGAATACATTTGTGTGTGTGTGTATATATATTTTTTTATTCTTAGGATACTTTCCTATTTATCATCAGATAGAGTGGGAGGGAGGGGGAGAGAGACAGAAACATCAATGTGAAAGAGCCACATCGACTGGTTGCCTCCTACAGGACCTGACCACAGCCAAGGACGAACTGCAACCGAGGTACGTGCCCTTGACCGGAATCGGACTGGCAACTTAATTGGTCCACAGGCCGATGCTCTAACCGCTGAGCAAAACTGGCCAGGGCTGTTTATATTTTTTAAATGTAAGGATAGCCCTGGCTGGTTTGGCTTAGCAGAGTATTGTGGGCTCGATTCCTGGTCAAGAACGTCCTTGGCTCTGGTGGGGGTTTGTGGGAGGCAACTAGTTGATGTAAGACACATCACTGTTTCTCCCTCCCTGCCTTCCACTCTATCTAAAAATCTGGGAAAATATCCTCTGGTGAGGATTAACAAACCAAAAAAATGTAAGGATTAACCAAAAACTAGTAGAACTTGATACAACTAGGGGGAGGTAGGAGAGATAGAGAAAAGCTAGATTTCTCTAAACATGCTATCTACATTAATGGTTTTTTTAAATCATTTACATGTTTTTTAATTTAAAATTTTTTTTTTCTTTATTGATTTTAGAGAGAGAAGAAGGGAGAGAGAAAGAAACATCAATAAGAGAGAACATTTGATTGGCTGCCTCCTGCATGCCCTCCAATGGGGATTGGGCCCAAGACCTGGGCATGTGCCCTGACTGGGAATCAAACCGACGACCTCTTGGTGCATGGGTCAATGCTCAACCACTGAGCCACACCAGCTGGGCCATACACATGTTTTACATAACTGCAAAACAAAGTTGGAATTGGACATAGGAACTCAGTAAATCTTCATTGTCTTCTTTATCACCAGGTATCTTAGATAAGGGATTTGCATCTTGTTTTTTCTCATTCTCCTTTCAAATCTGATTTACATCATATTTGAATCTGTGCTCAAAGACTTTTAGTAACTAGACTAAATCCAATGGCTTTTTTTCTTTTCTTTTCTTTGCCACATTTAATCTGGTTATATCACTCCCTTCTTGAAGCGATTGTTTTTGACTGCGTAACCATGAACTTTCCTAAACTCAGGCAAGAAAGGGTGAGCCTGGCCCGCTTATTCTCTTGCATCATTCTCCAACATGACATTTTTGTGGTACCTACAAGGAGTCTGTTCTGGGGCAGCTGAAGATGTAAACATGAGCAAGGCCATTCTGTTGTCCAATCATTACTAAGGGTGTAGACTGACATTATTATGAAACAATATTTTGAGAGCATGAGGAAGGCTATCTAAGAAAAAACTTCCTGAGGAAAAAAGTGATACTTGAATGTAATTTAAGGGAAGGGTAGACATTTCCCAGGCAAAGATGAAGGGGAAGCTTATTTCAGGCCTCTGGGAGATTCTGAGCAGAAGCAGAGATCCATCAACAGCATAGTGCATAACATGCTAAAGCTGTTAGGTATTGCCCAGCTGGTGTGGCTCAGTGGTTGAGCAGTGACTCATGCACCACGAGGTCGCCAGTTCGATTCCCTGTCAGAGCACATGCCCAGGTTGTGGGCCAAATCCCCAGTGGGGGGCATTCGGGAAGCAGCCAATTGATGTCCTCTCTCATCGATGTGTGTATCTCCCCCTCTCCCTTTCTCAAAGCAATAAAGAAAATAAATTTAAAAATAAAGCTGTTTGGTATTGAAGGCAGGATGAGGTCAGAGCCAATTCAGGAGTTCCCACAGATCAGTGCTTAGCCCTTTTTCACATCCTGGCACAGAGCCATTTGAAACAGCATATTGAGGGCAAGGGAGGTGGTGCTTTAGGCTGGAGGCAGTTGGCTCAGGAATTCTGGCTGTCCCAGGCTCTGCCTAGCAGCCCAGAGTGCTGAGGGAATAAATATCTGAGCACATTGCCAAAACACTGGCGGAGAAGCTGTTATCCATAATGGGAAGCCACAGTAGGGATTTAAGCAAGGGAGTAGCAGGTTTGTGTTTTGGAACCATGGTAGCAGTGCAGAGTAGATTTGAGAGAGGAAGACTTGGGTAAGTACCAAGTTATGCTTCAGGCAATAATTCAGGTGAGAGATGAAGTCCTAAATGAGGGCTATAGCAGGAGCTGGGATGAAGATGAAGAAATGCATCAGGGAGGTATTTAAAAAGTAAAATAGTGGGATTTGGTATTAGATTGGATGTACTGAATGAAGGGGAGAGTGGAATCAAGGGTGAGAGTATATAGCAGGAAGAATTTGGGGGGCAGGGTGGAAATGATACATTCAGTTTGGGATATGTTAATTTTGAGGTGAGTTGTGAGACATAAAGGTGTAGTCATCTAATGGGTCTCTGGTTATGTATATCTAAAGTGTGGGAAAGATTAGACATATTTCATACCATAACTGGCTAAGGGTGCCAGGCTTCTGAATCATAATGTGATTAACTGACCTCTTAATTTCAAACAGAGCTCTACTATAAAGTTGCTTTGATGTGGTCATAAGCAGGGGTCACAGGAGCACTTGGAACCCTACAGAGCTAGCAGCTGGCCCCTGGCCTGGGTGCAGGAGGCCAGCACTGGCACAGCCCCAGGTGGTGGGAGGCTTTGTCTCAGTCTCTGTCCTCTGGACCGCTGAGCCAAACCGGCCAGGCTCAGTCTCTGTCCTTTTTGCCTTCCTGTCATCTATCAAGTGAATTGACTCTTAACTGATCCTCAATGAAGATTTCAACTGTTATCCTTATGCTTATGATTCTCAAATTTCTAGCTTGTTCTTTCACATAAGCTCCTGTGTGGTATTTTTGGCTGTTAGCTGATATCGAGTTGATGAATTCACAGCATCAGAGAGTAAATCAGTGCCTTTGCTGAACTCCCATCTTCTCTCTTGGGAACCACTGTTATCTCAAGCCTTCATTCTTAGAATCGTTGAGCATTTGTTCATTGAATAATAATTTTTGAGTGTCTCCTCTAGTCATTATGTTTGACTCCCCCAAACTCTCCTTTATCTCTCCACCCTCTAGTTTTTTCAGACTCTGGTGGTCAGCAATTCTCTGAACAGAGTTAGTATTGCTCGTCCACTTAGGTACTTTATTATTCAGTTTATAGTTCACTAAACCAAGGTTTCTCCACTTTTTTATTTTTTATTATTGCCCCACCGAGGAGAAATTTTTTTCTTACTTGCCCTCTCTCTATGTATAAAATTTTAATACATGGGAGGCAACTGATTATACAGCATTATAATAGGTATGCTGTATATCTGCTTGTACACTATGGCCCTTTGGAGGGACACAGACATAATATCTAAGATTCCCCCTCCTGAACCAATTTTGGGGGGGGGTTAATCCTCACCAGAGGATATTTTTCTATTGATTTTTAGATAGAGTGGAAGGGAGGGAGGGGGGAGAGAGAGAGGGAGAAACATCAATGTGAGAGAGACATTGATTGGTTGCCTCCTGCATGACCCATACTGTGCCTGCAACCCAGGTATGTGCCCTTGACCAGGAATCGAACCTGAGACCCCTGGTCCGCCGGCTGATGCTCTAACTGCTGAGCCAAACCAGCCAGGGCCTGAACAAATTAAAACAAAAAACAAAAAACAAACTTCATCCCTGGCCAGTTTGGCTCAGCAGTTAGAGGGTCGGCCTGTGGTCCGGAGAGACCCGGGTTCGGTTCCCGCTAAGGGCACGTACTTCGGTTGCAGTTTGTCCCCGGCCCTGGTTGGTCGTGCGGGTGGCAGCCACTCGATGTGTCCCTTCACATCGATGTTTCTCTCTCTCTCTCCCTTCCTCTCTCTCCCTCCCACTCTATCTGTACAAAAAATGGAAAAATATCCTCGGGTGAGGATAAATAATAATAATAATAATAATAAAAACTTCACCCAAGGATAAGTTTATTGATTTTAGAGAGAGGGGAAGGAAGAGAGAAAGAGAGAAACATCAATGTGAGAGAGAAACATTAATCAGTTGCCTCCCATATGCACCCTGTCTGGGGATCGAACCCACAACCTAGGTTTGTTCTCTGATGGAATCAAACGACAACGTCTTTAGTATACAGGATGATGCTCCAACCAACTGAGCCACCCAGGTGGGCCTAAACCAAACTTTGACCCTTTGGAGAGTGATATTACCCTCACTGAGACTGTGTACTTTTCACCATAGGTTTTTAATGTTTCGTGGGTCAGAGAA